CCAGCCAGGAGAGAGATTGCTGGATCATACGGAATTTCTATTAACATTCGCTTTAGGTGGCATCATGTTGCTTTCAACAGTGGTTGTACGTTTGCATAGGCTTTGCACGTGACCTATTTATACATTTACTACAGGTACTTTATTTTGTATGGTATAATTGCAGATGTTTTAATATTTCATTTTCAGTTGTTTTCTGCTAGTGCATAGAAATACAAATTTTTATATGTTGTCTTTGTATCCTGAGACCTTGCTAAATTTATTCATTATTCACAGGCCTTTTTGATTAATTTTATTTTCTACATCAATAATTATCTACAAATAGGAACTGTTTTGTTCCTTTCCAATCTTTGTCTTTTATTTCATATTTGCATTAATGAGGCTCTTGAGTAAAATAGTAAGGCGATATACTCAGAGTGAACATCTTGCTTTCCTAGTCTTAAGAGTGTGGTATAGTACAAGAAGAAAAGGAAAGAAGAAAAACAGTTTATTATGGTGAAAGAGTGTTTTGCAAAAAGGAAAACAGAGAATCAAGAAGCTCTCAAGAAAGTGCTCCAAGAATCATCTACAGAGCTACGGCAGTTAAGGCAAAAGCTGCAAGTGTAAGGGGAGCCCCTGTTCTAAAGGGCTGCTCTGAGTTGACAGACTCTAGGGCAGGGAGTTACTTGTTTTTGATGCGTATGAAGTAGTAGTTTCCAGTGGTTTTCATTGCATTTCCCTAAACTCTGATATTGAGCATCTTTTCATGTGCTTATTGTCTATTTCTATATCATCTTTGGAGAAGCTATATCTCCTATAGCTCCACCAATTTTTAAATTGGAGTATTTTTATTATGTATTTTTTGAACTAAATAAAAGTTCCGTATCATATAAATGATTTTCAAATATTTCCTTTCATTCTGTGGCTTGATTTTCACTTTCTTGATAGTGTCCTTTGAAGCACAAAAGTTTAATTTTGATGAAATCTAGTTTACCCAAGTTTTCCTATGTTCTTTGTATTTTGGGTGTTATAGTTAAGAAACCCATTATCGAATCCAAAGTCATAAAGCTGTCCTCCTATGCTACTTATAAGAGTTAAGTACAGTGGGTTTTTTTTTAATTGTTGAAGTTATACACGACAAAACATAA